CCCCGGCAGGGTTTTGGGGAGGGAGATGGAGGGAGAGGACAGGGCAGGGCCTGCCAGTCTGGGTTCCGATGGAGGAAAGATGGCCTAGACAGTTGGGAGTTTCTGCTGGGTGATTTAAAGCAAGTTGTGCATAGGGGTGTGTATGTCACAATCATTCCTAGAGTTGTCATTCGGATGTGCTGGCCTTCCCTGCTCTCTGTAATGGGAGGATGTGAGCTCTAGCCAAAACATCCAAGGATGCTTTGGATATTAAGGCAAGGATGCAGAGTGGATGTTAACATACCAAGCCCTCTGAATGCTTGAATGGTATTACTAAGCCAACCTCTCCTTCTCTTCGCTGTATGCCTTTAAGAGCTTTAAGTTGAATGCTCTGCTTGTACAGGGACCTGCCCAGTTGGAGATACTTTCTCAAAACAAATTTCTAGATGCTGACCCTGTAAGCGAATGTCTGGATCCGTGCTCTAAGATAAAATAAAGCTTGTATGGAGATCCTTATTTTCTTCTGAATAAGGTGGCTGAAGGTATATCCAAGAATGTTAGTAGCTAACATTTCTCTTGCCACTTCATTGTCTTTGTCTTAAGGATGAACACAGAATCTGTAGCACAGAGTTGCTGAGGATGAACAGTGTGAATGAACTGTAGTAGATGTCACTTTGTCCCTGATTTGTTGATGTTTTCCTTTTTTGCGGGGTATAGCCGTGCCTGAGTGGAATTTGAAATTGTTGGCTAGTCTTCTACTAATGCCATAGGAACTAGAATCACACTTTTAAATTCTAGGGTGGTTTAGACTGGCTTTTCTTCAAAATTACAGGTCCAGCACTCGTACCATTCATATAAAAAAAAAAATCAAATGTTACCAATCCACAACCGTTGGGTGCCATTTCTGCTTAACACATTTTGAGTAGTTGCCCCATATCATAGCAGTTCAGGAGAACCTTTGAAAATATGTAATTTAAACTGTAGCAGTTCATATTATACACACACACACACAAAGCCACTTGACACAATCTTGGAGAATTTCAGATAATATCAAAATAATTGCCTAATGACTTCTGTTTTTCTGCTATAAATGAAATAATACCTTTCATACTGCAGTTGCTAATTCTCTTAGTAGAGAGAATTAAGCATTCATTTCTGCATGATCCCTTCCCAGATTAATAACACTAAATCTGAACAAAAGCCTTTCTAGCATTTAATTTCATAATGGGTTGGAACTGCTGCACACAGTGAAGGTATGTATAAATGAAATGCCTGTAATTAGTTTATGTGGAGGTACTGGATCCGGTCTAGTTTTGGATTTGGACACACCCAGTCTGGTTTATACATAACAAGAAACTCTAAATCAGAATTTATTGGGAAGAAGTAAACTTGCTGCTGCATGCTTCCTAATTGCTTATGTCCAGGAGTGATTTTGCTGTGTGTGAGAGAGAAATTGAATAAATAGCTACTTGAATGCAAGCCAGAGTTCCTTGGCTTGTTCTAACATCCCGAAAGCTTCATTTTGAACTTCTGAGTGCAATGGCCCATTCAGAAAAGTATTGTATCACATGTCTATATGCTAGAATAGCTAACCTTGGCATTTAAAATCTAGGATTGTGTGGCATAACATGTATAACTTTCTTCTACATTCAAGTTCCATCTGTTCCATATTTTCAAAATTTTCTGATAGCTCATTTGTATTTCTTATCTGGCCAGGTTTGTAGAACTTTTAGCATATCAGGAAATTTTGTTTAGCTTTGGGCAAATAGTTCTTTTATCAATAACTTTCTTGCCTGTATGTTGTTTGTATGTCAGTAGCTGCTTTTCCGAATTACTGCTAATTTATATGACTGTAGCCCTAAATATATTTCTATGCAGTAGGCCTGACTTAATTCAGTCGGATTCACTTTAAATAGGTGGTATTATCCTCTTTATATTTGTATTTTTATTTCTTTTTAAAAGTAGGAATTGTTACAGATTTCAAGAAAAAGACTGCTTCTGCAAACTAGAAAGTAAGACATATAGCAAATTGATATTAATAGCTAGCAGCTATGTATTTATCTTGCCACTGATTCAATTTTTAGTGTTTACATTCAGATGTGTACTATTTTTCAACATAATGGCATATGTTGTAAGAGTGAAGGACAATATCTGCTTACTTGGTAGTATATTAATACCATAAACATCCATTGTATCAAGCTGTTATATAAATACTGAGCAAGCTTTGTGCAGTTGTGCTTCCTTTTATATCTTTTGAGATGGTGCATTTTCTTTTGGCAGCTAAAATGTTCTGACTCTCCTTTATTTCTGCACTTAATAAATCATTAAAGATAGAATCTGAAATGAAATGCCAAAACTGTGTCTGGTATTAAAGGGAGAATAAAAATAATCCAGTGATAGGAAATGAGTCAGATTGCCTACAACTACAAACTGGTCAGCCAGTTTGTAGTTCTAGGCCATCTGACTTCAGGATATTTTTTGAATACAAATGATTGCAGCTAAATTGTTTTCTTGGTGGATGTGTTAATAATTGTGAGAGGATGAAGTAGATAGACTTCGCATTTCCACAAAATTCCTCCATTTTGGAATATATGGAACTGCTTTGTGTATTCGCTAAGAATATATATTTATGCAGGCTGGCTTGTGTTAGCAGTAGAACCCAGTAGTCTTGACACACACTCTTGAAATCAATGATACAGAATCAGATGGATCTTAAATGTAACTTGGAATTCAGAGACAGGAGCTACAAGTATTTTACTAATACTCCTGCCCATACTTGCAGACAAGTAGCTTCTATTTGCCCATTTCTCTCTTATCTTTTAGAGATATTATGGGTATGTTGCACCTTAGTGAAAAATGGCCTGAAGGAGATATTCAGTTGTGCAATCAGAATCACTAAGTCTAAGGTTGACTTTGTCAAACAAAGGTGCAGCTCTGGAGCTGAGATAATTTCTTTGCATATCTGCTATGTTTAATGTAAAAATATAAACTTCAAGTCCTACTTTTAGGAGAGAACCATTGGCTCTCATGAACCTGAAGAAGAAAAATGAAGAGACTGGAGAACTGGAGGCTTCATCTCGCTTAGCCCACTATAAAACAAAAGCTACTAGGCATATATTCCTCATACGCCATTCTCAGTACAATATGGATGGGCAACAGGATAAAGACAGAATCTTAACCAAGCTGGGTATGTATGATACTCTTTTGGCTGGATAGGGTAGTGGGTAGAGATAAAATTTGTGGTTGCTAAAGACCTGCTGCTCTAGGTCTATAATTTATGGAGATCCCTACATTCTTTCCTAGTACAGATTTTCTGTACTGATTTGCTTGCTTAGTCACCATCCAATCAAATGTCTTCTAAGTTGGCTTACTTTAAATGTACTTAACAAATTAACTGGTGTCTGTTTTTAGGCCAATGGCGAAGGCTTAGATGTCCTCTTTATTCAGAAAGGTTTTCTGTTTTCATTGCTTACAAAATTGCAAATTTCTTCTGTTTGGATGCAAAATATCCTTTATATGAAGAATGCAAACAAAAATGGTAGAAAAAGGAACAAGTTCTTGTTTTAAAACACTGTGCTGGAACAAAAATCTTTGTGCCTTATTAGGAATTTATTCATAAATATACTTTTCAGGCCGTGAGCAAGCTGAGCTGACTGGGAAGAGGCTTGCAAGTTTGGGGCTGAAATTTGATAAAATTGTCCACTCTTCAATGGCCAGAGCAACAGAAACAACCAACATTATTAGCAAACATCTTCCTGGTGAGTGTCTTCTTGGAACATAATTTGTGGTAAGCCATATTTATGTAGTTTTAATACATGCATACAGGGATGTGCCGGATATCTGATTTGGTTGTACTTTGAACCATTTTATCGGAAGGGTTGAATTCAATGTCTCTAACCAGCAGGGATCTAAGAAGTTTTGCAAATTCTCGAGGAAGACTTAGTGCTGTGTTAGCAAGATCAGTAGCAGTAGTGAGAAAACAAAGTGGATCCAGGTTAGGTCACATACTGGTCACATCTTGTCTTTTTGCCTAAGGTGGCTCATGTGGTCTCAGGTAGCGGTGCTGGAAAACCTCAGGGCCTTTTCAGGTTTCGCATGGAGCTGTGTTTAGAGAGCTTGATTGGAGCAGTGGCGATTATAAGTCTCTCTGGGCATCTTCAACCTATCTTTTGTTACAGATTTTTGGAGATCTGTAACAGTGTGTGTATGCTTGTTTGTTGCTCTGTAGCTCAGTGATTCAGCTCCTAAAATTTATGGATCAGGGAAGCTGTGGAGGATTTCCTGGCTAACAGGAGTGGTGCTACTAGCATTTTGAAATGGATCTAAAAAAGAATTGGCAGCCAATGCAGATGGTATTATCATGTCATGTCAGTCCTTTGCCAGTAATTTGTTTCCATACAGTTTCAAATGCAAACCCATATCTAACACATGGGCGTTTAAATAATCAGTTAACAGCTTGTCCATAACTGTTGCAAGCCTATTTTTCTCCAGACGTGGCTGCAATTAGGAATATATCTTTCAACTGTCTAAAATAAATACAACGTGCATTTCTTTATGTTTGCTAAGATTCATCAAGCTATTGGAATGCATTGTGTCAGGTTACATTCTGACCTTTTACTTGTCTCTTTTCCACATACAATACAGATTCCTTATATGTTCCTAGAACATTCTAGGACGCAGTGCCTGAGTCACGTATACTGTTGTTCCTTGTTCCTACTTCTAATCCTGGCTAGTTTACAATTGCAATCAAGCTAACAGTGTCCTAAGCCAGTACCTTGAACATCATATAAAATGACCTTGAACCAAGGTAACATACAGTGATGCCTTTTAGTAGGTAACCAAACAAGGAGCATGAGTCCAAAAGACTAGTTAAGGTTTAGGGATTGTGATGGAATGGAATTATGGAGGCCAGACTCAGGGAGGAAAACATGTTCTTTCATCT